CGTTGTGCCGAAAAGTCGACGAGCAAATGACAGAGAGTGACAAGGTGGGCCACATACTTAAGGGCATCGCGGACGACGCCTTCAATTTGCTCGTCTACAATAACGTCACGACCGTAGATACGACTATCAAGGAATGCCGTCGCTTCGAAATGGCCAAAAGCCGCCGTGTTCTGCCTCAATTTACGCGGCTACCAAACACGGCTGTTACATCCACTTGCACCGATCTCGGTGCCGCACCACCCATGCAGGACAGCGTGACACGAATAGTTCGACGGGAGCTTGAGGCGTCAAGTCCGGCACCATTTCCTCCACATCCGCTCGATCATGGCGCCGCAGAAACGCCTCCGCCGGTCTCCGTTATTCAAGCCGTCGTGAGGCAGGAAATTGCAAAGCTTGGTTTTCCTGTGGCCTGCTCTGTGTCCCGACCCGTCTCCAGACCAATGACAACAAATGCACCACCATGACTTATTATTCCGCGATCCCGCAATCCGGCGGAATGGAGAACTGCAGACGACAAGCCGATCTGCTTCCGCTGCCACCGAGTTGGCCATATCTCCCGCTACTGCCGCAGCACTTGGACGCCCTCAAACTGGAGCCAATTTTCCTCTAATCGACCATACGAGGACTCCCGTCGGTATTCGCCCAGTCGTGTGTACCTTTCTTCCGACATCCCCAACAGCCGCTCCACTGCTCGTTCGCCGCCACCTCAACGTCGCCGTTCCCCATCGCCCCAACCACGCCGCTATCCGTCGCCGGTCAACTGTGGATCCTCTCGGACGGAAAACTAGATCATGCAGCTCCGGGAGGTAGTGCTGCATCGCTTGCGAATGATCCAAATCCTCCATTGACGCTCCCCACTGATACGAACTTGATTGAGGTGTATGTGGACGGTATTTCCTTGACGGCGTTAGTCGATACCGGAGCTCAAGTGTCTATAATGAGTGCTCATCTGTGTCGCCTGCTCAAAAAAGTCCTCACGCCTGCAGCAACTAAAGCCCTCCGTGTCGCTGATGGTGGAACTGTGGCCATCACTGGAATGTGTACCGCTCGTGTTAGTATTGCCGGCCGCCATGTTCCCGTTTTATTTACGGTGCTTGAAAATTGCCCCCACGACCTAATCTTCGGCATGGACTTCCTATCGACGCATTCTGCCCTCATCGATTGTGCCGCCGGTACTCTCTGCCTAGAACTTCCTCTTCTCCCGGATTCTGACCCTGAACTCCCAAACAGCTTGTGCACCACTGACTTCTTCCAGATACCGCCTAAAGCTCTCACATTCATCAAATTGGCAACACCCTCTCCCGTGCTTGACGGTGATTATATCGTGACGCCGATTACTGATGTTCTCCTGGCGCGTGACATTACTGTCCCACACTCTGTCGTAAGCATGGCCTCTAACCGAACATATTTACCTGTTATCAATTTCGGTTTCATAAAACAAGTGCTACTCCAAGGAATTTCGGTCGCCACACTAAGGCCCTTAATTGACGACCACGTCACCTGTTTTACGGCAGACGTATGTCCCGAGCACCCACATCACTCGCAGGATGTCACGTGCCTCGATGCGACCTTACGCTCCATGATCGCCCCGGACCTCAAACCTGAGAAGTCAACCGCGCTATGCCGCCTTCTGGCTTCATACCGCGACATATTCGACGTCGACCACCGTCCACTCGGCCAGACTTCACTCGTCAAGCACCGCATTAACACAGGTGATTCTCATCCCATTCATCGGCGACCATACCGGGTGTCTGCCACTGAGCGTAAAATAATTCAACAAGAAGTCACCAAGATGTTAGCCAAAGGAATTATTGAATCCTCTTCGAGCCCTTGGGCGTCCCCCGTGTTGCTCGTTAAAAAGAAAGATGGCACGTGGCGCTGCTGCGTGGATTACCGTCATCTGAATAGAATCACGAAAAAGGACGTTTACCCTTTACCCCGCATCGATGACGCTCTCGATTGTCTCCACGGCCCCCGATACTTTTCTTCAATAGACCTACGTTCCGGCTACTGGCAGATTGCTGTAGACGAAAAAGAACAAGAGAAGACTGCGTTTCAAACTCCAGACGGCCTATATCAGTTCAAGGTTATGCCATTTGGGCTATGCAACGCCCCAGCCACGTTTGAGCGCATGATGGACTCTCTGCTACAAGGGTTCAAATGGTCAACATGTCTTTGTTATCTTGACGATGTCGTTGTATATTCCCCAACACTTGAGACCCACCTTCAGCGTTTGTCAGCTATTCTCGACATATTCCGCACTGCAGGCCTCCAATTGAACTCGTCGAAGTGCCGCTTCGGACGCCGGCAAATTACAGTGTTGGGCCACCTTGTCGACGCCTCTGGTGTGCAGCCGGACCCCGAGAAAATTCGTGCAGTCACCAGTTTTCCTCTACCCCAGTCAGCCAAAGACGTCCGGAGTTTTGTAGGACTTTGCTCCTATTTTAGAAGGTTTGTGAAAGATTTCGCAACCATCGCTCGACCCCTCACAGAGCTTCTCAAGAAAGACGTCACATTTACGTGGGGTACCGACCAAGCTGCTGCTTTTTCTCACCTAATCACGCTACTGACGACTCCACCCACATTGGCTCACTTTGACCCATTCGCTCCGACGGAAGTTCGAACCGATGCTAGTGGTCACGGAATCGGAGCCGTGTTAGCCCAGCGCCAACGGGGACACGACCGAGTTGTCGCCTACGCTAGCCGCCTCCTCACAGCTGCTGAGCGCAACTATTCTATTACGGAGCGTGAATGTCTTGCTCTTGTTTGGGCAGTCTCAAAGTTCCGCCCATATTTATATGGCACTAATTTCACTGTGATAACTGACCATCATGCGCTATGTTGGCTTACGTCACTGAAGGATCCTACTGGCCGGCTCGGGCGCTGGGCTCTGCGACTCCAAGAGTATACATTTACGGTGACGTACAAGTCCGGACGCCTACATCAGGACGCAGACTGCCTGTCGCGCTACCCGGTCGCTGAGTCGAGCACTATGCATGACACCGACACCGAGCCTTGCGTCTTTTCCCTTTCGCAAGTGACATGCATCGGTGACGAGCAGCGCTATGATGCGTCCTTGCGTGCTATCATTGAGAGCCTCGAATCACCATCTTCCAGTCAGTCCTATCGCTCGTTCGTGCTCCACGATGGTGTATTATACCGCCAAAGTTTTGAGCCGGATGGACCGGCTCTGCTGCTTGTCATTCCGAAACACCTTCGCTCGGAAGTTCTACATGAACTTCATGACCTTCCGACTGCTGGTCACCTTGGTGTGTCACGCACTTACGACCGAATACGCCGACGCTTCTACTGGCCAGGGCTTGCACGCTCAGTCAGAAGGTACGTTGCGGCTTGTGAGAAATGTCAGCGCCGCAAAACGCCATCGACACTTCCCGCCGGACGCCTTCAACCACTCGATATTCCGTCAGAACCGTTCCTCCGCGTTGGCTTGGACCTACTTGGCCCTTTTCCCTTGTCTTCCTCGGGTAACAAGTGGATAGCCGTGGCCACCGACTACGCCACGCGTTATGCCATCACACGAGCTCTCCCAACAAGCTGCGCCACAGATGTCGCCGACTTCCTCCTCAAGGACGTGATTTTGCAACACGGAGCCCCACGGCAGCTGCTTACAGACCGTGGCCGCACCTTTTTGTCGAAGGTCATAGCCGACATCTTGCAGTCCTGTAAAACGAGACACAAGCTGACTACGTCATACCACCCGCAAACCAATGGACTCACGGAGCGCCTAAATCGAACTCTTACAGACATGCTCGCTAAGTATGTTTCTACCAACCACACCTGACTGGGATCTCGCGTTGCCGTACGTCACTTTTGCCTACAATTCTTCGCGCCATGACACTGCCGGTTACTCTCCATTTTTTCTGCTGTTTGGCCGAGAACCAACATTGCCTCTAGACACCGTCATACCGTCTCCTGGAGTACCCACCAGTGAATATGCCATGGACGCTATCACTCGGGCCGCTCACGCACGCGAAATCACCCGTACTCGCCTTCTGACCTCTCAAGAGAAGCAACGGCGCTTGTATGACCAACGACACCGCGACGTACACTTTCCACCCGGTTCTTTGGTACTGCTCTGGTCTCCGACCCGTCAAGTTGGCTTGTCAGAAAAACTGCTTACTCGCTACACAGGCCCATACCGTGTCCTCCGTGTGGTTACGCCTGTAACGTATGAAATTGGTCCTGCCACCCCATTGCCTTCATGTGCCCAACAGGCTACCGATATTGTACATGTTGCGCGCTTGAAGCCCTACAACTCTCCTAGTGACGTTGACATCTAAATGCGCCGAGACGGCGCTTGCGCCGCCGGGGGTTATGCTACATGCATGTATACTGATATTCTAGAGGGCGACGCGCGTGTGTGCCTGACGAGGAAGACGAAGGGTTGTCTCCGCTCGATCGCTGGTGAACCGGGCACGCCATTACCGCTGGTTTGAAATATATCTAATCCCCAGCCTCGTCGTTACGGCGTCTCTTCTTTTCCGTAACAATATGTTCAATGTGAGTGGTCCAGTTTAGATTGGCTGTGAAAAATACCCCCAGATATTTAAAGGATTGTACTGCATCAATTAGAATGTCATTTATGGTGTATGACTTATGCAAAAGGATTAGAGCAGAACTAAATTCCAAGTGCTTAGTTTTCCCTATATTAATTTCCATCTGCCACGTGTCGCACCACTCGGCCAGCCTATCGATACGATACCTTACCTTGTGTACTGCAAAGCAACCCTGAAAAATTCTGGCAAATTCTGAATCCCAAGCCACCTTCTACCGTTATCATTACCGACCATAATGACATTACGATTCCTGAACAAGAATGTGCTGAGGTATTTAATTTAATCTTGCTTTTTCATCTGTATTCACCACTGAACCTGATGCTCCTCTACCTGTACCCCATCCCCCTGTCCAGGATGTTATGTCAGCAATCCACTTCAGCGAGAAAGGAATAATGCCCATAATTGAAAAGCTTAAACTTTCACCTTCATCTGGAGCAGATGACATCAATCCGAAAGTGTTAAAAAACACCAAGAACATCTGCGCAGCCTATCTCAGATTAATCTTCTTGCAGTCTCTTTCTTCCGGTAGTAGCCCTCTTGCCTGGAAAGAAGGCAGATCGTTCCAATTTATAAATCAGGCATCAAAACATCTCCTCTTAACTACCGACCAATTTCCCTGACCAGTATATACCCTGCAAAATAATAGAGCACGTCATCTACACACATATCATGCAGTTTCTTGACACCAAAAACTTTTTTCACAGATCTCAACATGGATTCCACAAGGGCCTCTCATGTGAAACGTAACTTGCCATGTTCATCCATGACTTACATATCAACCTCAATATTAACAAACAGGTCAATGCCATTTTTCTTGATTATGCAAGACCATTTGATAAGTTACCCCACCAACAGCTATTACTTAAACTCTCTCAGTTGAACCTGCATCCCGACATTTTCCATTATATTGATGAATTCCTTGCTAGCCGATCGCAGTCAGTACATGTCAATAATTCCATTTCCGGCCCCCTTCCTGTAACATCTGGCGTACCGCAAGGTAGCGTCTTGGGTCCACTGCTATTTCTTACTTATATTAATGACCTCCCTCTACATGTTGCCTCTCAAATTTGAATGTTCGATGACGATTGTGTCATCCACCGTCCAATCACTAACAATGCCGATCACTCTCTTTTACAAGACGATCTTAACAATGTTCAAGATTGGTGCTACGAATGGTTGATGACCCTGAACCCCAGCAAATGCAAGGTAATAAGTTTCACCCGCCGCCTACAGCCATTATACACACCCTACACTAATGCCAACACTTCATTAGAAAGAGTAAGTACATTTAAGTACTTCGGTATCCTTTTTTCACATAACTTAAATTGGTCACCTCATATAACATGCATTACGGCCTCGGCCAACCAAACGCTTGGATTCCTAAAACGCCATCTCCACCATGCACCACGTCATGTAAAACTTCTAGCATATAAGTCACTCGTCCTCCCGAAGCTAGAATACGCTTCTCCTATCTGGTCACCTCATCAAACATACCTTATCAAAGCCCTAGAAGCCATTCATAACTGCGCAGTAAGGTTCATTCAATCGTCATATTCTTATTATACCAGCGTATCACAACTAAAAATTCAGTCTGGCTAAAACACGCTATCGTCCCGGCGCCACATCGGTTCATTATTCCTTTTTCACAAGTTTTTCTACAGCTCACTTCATCATGCCCCATATATTCTGGCCCCGCCACCGCGCACATCTCTGCGCACACGGCACCATTTACAAGTTACTCGTCCCTGCAGCTACACTGCGACTTTTTCTGAATCTTTCTTTTGTCGATCATCAGCTGACTGGAACGGCCTGCCCCGCGATATCGTCGAAACCATCTGCTTATCCTCATTTTCTAAAAAATAAAACTTGGTATGTCTCAATAAATGTATTCTAGCCACTATCCTGTACGTGCATCGTAGCCACTATCTTGTAAATGTGTGTAACCACTGTTTTTTATGTAGCCACTATTATGTTAACAACACCCCTTATGTAGTACCTCTCTGCGAGGTCTTTAGGGAAAATAAAGTAAAGTGAAGGATGTCCTCAGGCCAAGCCTGCAGGCATATGTATTCCTAAAGCAACTCAAGCAGAAGTTGTATGCTGACAGAGGGTCCCGGCAGGCTACATCACTGCAGCCAGGTGATGACGTGTACATGCGAAACTTTCACAGAGATACACTGGGTGCCTGCTAGTGTTGTGGACATCACTTTGTCATCAGCCAGTGTCCGTTTTGAAGATGGAACCTTGGAAAACCGACACAGCGACCATTTGCGCCTTGTGCAGACAGTAACATTGGCCTCTCCTGAAACTGCTATCGCTGCAGCTCCACCACAGTTGGAGCCACCGCTTCTCCATGCACCAGCTGTTCCAGAAGTGCCTCATCAGGAACAGCCACCTGGAACTAGCTTCTCTGGGAGTAGCTGTGCCACGAAGACCGACAGGATTGCGCTCAACAGTGGTGTGCATGTGAACAGCGAGTCGTGCCTGCGCCTAGCACGCCGAAGTTGCGGTGTGGCACGAGGACTAGGAAACCAGTGAATATGTACTCCCCGTAGTCATCCTCCTAAGAGGGGAGGAGTGTTACAATGTTGGCTCAAATGCAGCGCCTCCACGCGGCGCTGATAGTTGTGTTGAGCTGTGCAAGCCTGGCACAGCGGGGGGTGGCCGTTTTAGAAACAATAAAATCAGTTCGTTCTAGGCAAAGGGCTCAACATGTTCTCATGTTCTTCAGCGGGCCTAATGGCGTACTGTTCACGGCAGTCAGTACCGCTTGGCCATCCGTTAATCTACACATGTAACAGTGTTTCACTGCAATACAGGAATGACAAGCGGGCAACAAGTCACCTGCTCCTTGCTGCGTCAGCATGTCATTGATCTGACTATTCACCAATTATTCCTGGTAAAACAAAGACTTTAACGATGGCCAGTGTGTCGGAAAATCGGCGATATGTTTTGGCTGAAAAGCATGACCATTAAAGCTTTCGCGCTAAATTTCGAAGTAGGCGTTGCAAGCAAGAACTCTGCCAGCAGTGCAAGTGCACAAATTGCTGGAGAAGCGGGCATTTAGAGAGTTCGTATACATCGCGAATTCCGCCAAACTGTCCTTCATTAAATTTCTTTACAATCCCAGAAGAATGGGTCAGCGCATCGATGCGCTGACGTAGTGAGAAATGTGCGACATGCTGCCAACGCGTCACTGCCACTGCTTTATTGCAGTGAAACACTTTTTTTTTCCCCGCAGGCGCACGTTTTGGTTGACTACGAGACCTTTCTCTTTTTTTTTGCTGGAAGTAGCGATCGAGGCTAGAGCGCTGAATTCAGCTGCCACTCATTAGTATCTCTATGTGGCATTGCCATTAGACTATTAAGAGCAGTTATTTCCACATGTTTGCGGCGAAATCGGGAATTGGCACGTACAAGGCACCCAAAGCTATCGAATTAACCGAACTGGTGCTGACCGCCGCTTCTAGTTGTCGTTCAGACTTGCATTGAAAAATACAGGATCACGGAAATATTTGAAGTAAGCGGGATTTCGAAATAACTTAGTTCGAATTATTTTCACAGCTTATGGCTTGTTTTTATGTAAAAACAAGGCAGCACACATTGTCGTGCATCCCATCCGCACTAGCCAATGTTATCTAAACCAGTCAATTGTATGAAAAAAAAGTGGCAAAGCGGCACTCATACTTCGTTATAAGAATAACATAAGTAGCTATTCGACATATTGCAACTTTATCACCACCTGCAAGAGTAAATATGACTGCACTGGCGCACGTACGTATACATTAGAGCTCTGCTCCGTGTGCGACTCGGCAGGTCCATATCAAAGCTGGCTCTCGGTAATAATTACGCCGGTAGGTAGCACATCGGCTGCGCGTGAACAATTGAACCTGACTTCTTCAAACGACGGATCCTCCACTTCATCTGAACTGCAGCTTTCAGAGGAGTCACTGTCTGGTCTCTGAGGGATAGATGTTCGTTTTTCGTAGCTTTTCGAGCATCGTCCTCAAGCTCCTAAAAAAATGATCAGTGGGTAACTTCAGACTGACTACTTCCTCCTTTTTCTTTTTGAATGTGGAAAAGAATAGGCACACTCACCATAAAGCCTAATCACTTGAGCATGGTAGTGGCCGCAGTGCGTGTCATCTTCCCACAAAACTCTGTATCACTTACGAGCATTGAAATCGCCAGTATCTGTAGGTTCTACATCCTTACAAGAAGCGATTGGAACTATCCGCTTTTGATTATCGTCGCGAAAACGTACGTATGCAAACATATCGCCGGCAAACACGTGCGCTGCAAAACAACACAGAACACAAAAAAAAAAACAGGCACTGCGATCACAATGACGATGGGTGTCCTTAGTGGGTCTTTTCAACTTCATTGAAACTATGATCGAAACAAAGTTAATTTTGAATTAAAGTAACTCAGTTTAGTTCTTAAAATTTAACAAATGCCAGAAAATTGATTCTTAAAAATATATTTTATATTTTGTATAATCACAGTAAATATTATGTAAAACAAACAAGTAGTGTCACCAGATGTCATTTGCGTCGGCCCACGCTGCTAATGCGTTGATCTCATCGACATCACGGCCTCATGGCAGTCTCGCTGCATGTTTTATACTAGTTGACTGGCACCGCGTGCACCATCTTCAAGGCAAGGCAAGCAAGGTGTGAATGTGAAGCTTCATTTAGGGTGTACCCTACCTCTGTCAATGCATTTTGGACCCACATAGATTGTTCATCGTGGCCTCAGTTTGCGTGGACAACATGAAGCGCGTTATTTGAAGTTCGCGTACAGCTTGACGAAAGATAAACTCAAGTCAACCCCAGCCTCGATCAAAAAAGAGGAAGTGCTATTTGGAGCCTGGATCACATTATGTAGTACCGCGGACAACGAGCCTATATCAAAAAGCGGCCGAGGCACTATCTGCCGGCGAGCCATGCTCTAGCAATAATGCTCCTCAAACTTCAGCTGGTAACGGGGGTTCTGGAGTAGCGACGGTCGACACATGAAGTCTTATTGATGGACATGGTGGCAGCGATGAAATCCTGATCCCGGCGACATTTACGGCTGCAAGGAAAGCTCGCTTTTAAGCGATTCCCACCAAACTACAAATTCGGCTTGGGACGATGCAGGCATGAGAGATCGCCATGTCGATAGCGACACAGATCGGAGCAGAATGAAGATGAGTTTTGCCACTTGTTTTCTGATGAGCACTTGCCGAACTCGGACCTAAACGTCAGAGAAGCAATGATTATCCTGATGGCGTACAGTACATCTGCGGGACTGTACTGGACCAATATGGAAAAACTAGTGGGGTGATAAACTTTTTTTTTAAGAAAGCAAATTCTGCCAACATCCAAGCACCTGCTCAGAAAAACATGAAAACTGTGGCTGGTTCGTACAGTCAAACACCATTACTACTGTAAAGAATGTAGATCGATCGTACCCAATCCTACTGAGAGTGACTTCGTGTGTCCACAGTGCACAGCCTTGAATACCCCAGAAAATCACTTTGCGATGACTGATGCAAAA